CCCTGCCCACAGACACCCCCGAACACCCACCCCTGCCCCATCCCAGCTCACCCCGAGCGCGGGGAGGCACGAGTTCAACGCCCCAGGGCTGGTCTGGGCCCTGCAGAGGGCAGGACCTTGGAGGCAGCGACGAGCCACCTGCAGCAAGGACACGCTGCAGCTGCGAAGAAGTCCCCAGAGCTGAAGCATGATGGGGGACAGCAGGGGGCAGAGACCCACCGTCCCAAAGAGGCGCCCCCCAGCACAGACTCTGCGGCAGTTTGGTGGTGGTCAGGGCAGCTTTTATTCCCAGCAAGCGAGTTGCATCTTCTCCAGCAGCTCAGGAAAACCCCTCGTTCTCCAAGTACAGCTACCAGGCCAGGGATCGGAACCCCCCCAAGGCACAGACATCCCTCCGTGGCCCCTGGGTCAACGATGGCACCTTCACTGGGATGCAGGAGACCCTGGGGTTGCCACCAGGTGAAGCCCAGACAGGCAGTGGCACTGGAGGATGGTGAAATCCAGCCCAGGAGAAGGCTCTGCCAAACTCCTGCAGCACTTTGCTGCACAACTCCAATAGGAAGGTGGCAGGCCGATGCCCGCTCTCAGCCTGCCTTGTCCTATCAGCTGATGAAAAGCACACTCGGGCAAACAAGTGCTTCCCATGCACTCCAAGTGCTGCAGATAAGTGACTTACCAAAAACAAGACAATATTTATAGCCTGGGCCCAGTCTCACGCTCTGGGAAGTGCACAGGAGCCCGGTCGCTAGCCCTCCCAACACAGAGCGGAGCAGAACTGAGCACACCAGCTCATGATGGTCTCCTGCCTGCTTCCCAGCCGGGCCTTTGGATACCTTCCCAATCAGATACAAACACATACCACAGCCAAGGCTGCTTCATCAAGAGCTGGAGCAGTAGCCCAGGAAGAGGAATGCAGTCGAAGGCCGAAGGCAGCGCAGATGGGCTGGCAAGGGGATGACATTCCAAACTCTGGCAGAGTGGAAAATAAGATAACCTCCGAGCATGATGCTGGCCAAACCGTGTCCAGCTGGACCAGTGACAGAAGTGAGCGCCCAGATTCCTGCTTTCAGAAATTCTGGCCTGGGACTGGCACCTCAGTCCACACTGCAGCACCTCTCACCCACCCAGGCACTTACAGCTCCCACTGATTAACTTGCCCTAAATAAATTGCACTCTGTGCCATCCCTGTGTCTAAACACAGACCAGTGTCAAACTGCAGACACCTGTATTTAAAACCCACAGCTCTGTTTTATGCATTTCTCGTGGGGTTGGGGAGCATACACAACTTTGTATGAAACCCCTGGCTCTATGACTGCTGGTCCCAGGCAGGCACGACCAGCACTCTTCCATCATTTCACAGGAGACAGCACCTAACTGAGCAGAGGTTAGAGATGGGAAGGGAAGTCATCCTCTGGCCACGAAAGACGTGACTTTGGCCAGGAGTATCACATGCCGGGCTGGCAAACCATCTCAAGCGCATGGCCAGTGATCATCAGCCAAATGTCACGGGTACCTGCAATGCTGGTGTGGGCTGAGCACCTCACGCTACACGAGAAGTAAGTGGACACAGGAATTGTTGGAGGGAATAAAGTTTCAGGTAAGTTTGTTTCAGTTGGGTGCAGACGAGCAGGCGAGCGTTCTGGAGCAGAGATGTGGATGGGGGCACGTGAGAGGGGCCCATGTGCCCAGAAACACAAACTCCGCACATGTTCCAGCTGGCATCCAGCACCGTCCAGACATAGGTCTGAACCCCGAGGTCTGGAGGGGAAAGGATGCTTGGTTGCCCTCAGGGACAGTCGAAATGTCCTTGCGCCTTCAGCTACGCTTCATTTCAGCAAGTGACTCAGCTGGTCCTGTAGGTTTGACGACTGCTCAACGCTGGGACCAAGCAAGAAGAGGTTCACAGTGAGATCTGCTCCCCAGAGACGCTGCCGGCACCCAAGGGACCAGAACAGCTCTAGCACCGACACTACAGAAAAGATAAACCCTGGAGTTCCCCAACCCACCTCCACATCCCCACAAGGCAAAGCTCATTTTGTGCACCCATAAGCAGACAGCTCTGCTCTACTCCACCTTCATCGCCTATCACAAATGACCTCACGGGCTCTATCACCTTAAGAAACAAATAGAAGTTTTGGTATAAATCATCTCTACACCAAAATTCTCATCTTGTCACAGTACTGAAACACCATCCTGCCAGGCCAGCATCTGCTTCAAAGGCAGCTGCAAAAACCTCTTAGCGCTGTTTCCCACCCCCCACTTCATCAGTCTTGCCTTTCCATCAACTCCCACACCCCCACCAGGTCCTCCTGGCATGCCTTCAGCTGGGTACTCACTTCTTCTGAATTGCTTCCTGCCTAGATGAAAAGGGAGAGAAAAAGAGCATTAGAAAAATAAAATCTCAGCAACAGGGTTCATGGTATGTTGAAGAAAGGGGACTTGATCAAGGGCTCAGGAGGCCAAAACCCTGGTGTGTTTTGGGATTACCTCCTGAGAGGACAGCAGTGGCACTGGCTTCTTCCCCTTAGCCCTAAATGCGTCATACTCTCACAGGAGATGAGGTGCATGGCAAACAGGAGGCAAAAATCTCAGCTCCCACCCCAAAACAGCCTGTGCTGTACTAGTGGAGCTGGAAGGGGCTGAAAGATTCCATCTCCAGTGTCTGCTCATCTTTGAGGAGCCAGGCAAGAGGGATTGGCCTGAGTGGGCACCATGCAAAGCCTTTAAGAAGGGAAAGGAATCAAGGGACCCACTCGGCTCCCCACAGTGAACATGGTGTCCCCTACTTACTGGTACTGTAGATGAGTGGTTATTATGGCCATTTTCCTTAAACTCTGTGGAGAACAAGACAAAGAGTGAATGTCCAATGGGAACAGTTCAGCAGAATGACAGGGCAAGCTGTCCCAGTGCCCGAGGAGTTCCTCCTGCTTGGCCATCCCTGTACCACTGCACTGCCTCTGAAACACCCTCACCGGTATCTGTCAGTGGTGGCATGCTCCTCTCTTCTTTCCCAGCAAGAGGCACAGGCACTAAATGCTTTGTTTCAACCTATGGTCCCTCGGGCTTTCTGGTAGAGATGGCACAGCTTAAGGGCCGGCTGGAAGGGCAGCAGCACACGTGGGTTTGAAGAAGCAGTAGATTATTCTGGCCATCAGCCCTGCTGCCTGAACTCATGTGTTCCATTTCAGGGCTCCAGTAACGTGTCTGCATCCCCATTCTCATAACCCTCCTCTCCTCCTGCCCACTCGAAACACTACTGCTCTAGCAGATAAACACAGCTTACATCTTCCGAGTGCAGGATGGCATCTTCTTGCATCACCATATTTCTAGCGGCTTGACCCAGGAGCTAAAAGACAAATGCACAGACCGGGCTGAGAGGCAGCAGCTCTGCATTTCCCGAGACGCTCGCGATGGCTGCTCAGCAGCCCTGCAGACAAAGGCTGACACCCCGGGAGCCGGTGCAAGGCTTGCAGGGAGCTCCACGGTGCCGTGCCCACCCCACACAGCTTAGGGGGAGGCGGAGGCATCGCCCCGGTCTGTGGCTGCGGTGGGATGTCATGGGATAAAGGCAGCCCCCCGCCTCCCGCCGACTCCCCA